ATTCCTTCTTAAAACCCAAATTCGATTTCTATCAAGGGTTTCACAAGGAACAAATCGAACAAAATGGAAAGACGAGAAACAAACCCAAATCCCGATTCCTTCTTAAAACCCAAATTCGATTTCTATCAAGGGTTTCACAAGGACATGAGAAAATCGAAGATGAGAAACAAATAAATCGATCGATTTGTTCAACGTATTGAACCGAAGAAAATCGGATATGAGAAACAAAGAAATCGATTGATTTCTTTAGCATCTATATAGGGTTTCACAGAGAACATATCAAACAAAATCGAAGATAGAAACAAACCCACATGATGAGGAACATGATTGATTTCTTCAACGTAATGAATTTCAAGATGGTAAGAGGACTCATCTCTTCAACGTATTGAACTAAAGACGATGAGAGGTTGCTTATGTTGGAGGAGGCGATGGGATTGATTAATTTGGTTCATTCCACCCAATTTGGAGTGGAATGGTTTTTTGACCTTTCTATAATGACTGATTACATTAATTGTAACCAAACATCATCAATCATTTCATTTTCATTCCTTTTTTAAACCAAACTAATACAATCAATATCATTCCCATTAATTATTGTCTAATACCCCCAACCAAACACCCCCTCAGATGGTTTTAGAACCATGAAAAGACAGACTTTTTTTTGTCAAACAAGATTCATCTCTTAATAATTCAAAAATTGTCTCTTAACAAAACTATTAAGAGGTAAACAAACAACCCCTAAAAAATGAACTTAGCAAACCCTAATTGGGCCTTTTGGGCCAAAAAGAGCCCACATATATCCACATGCTAAATTGCTAATTAGAAATCAGGCTTTTAACTCGACCAGTTAAAAGCCTAATTAGGTTTACTAAGAATCGGGCTTTTTTGAGTTAGTGCATGAAATAACAATCTACTTTCATAAATTTTCTTATTATAACATTGTACTTTCATTTTCGCTTCATATACTTTCGTTTTCGCTTTAGATACTTTCATATTATTTTACAGAAAGGCAGGTCTTAATAGAATAAGATGTACGCAGATTTTTCCTCCTACGAGCACAAACACAACTACATGATGGCCAAAAAAATTCACATAAAAACTCTATTAACTTGTAAAACATGTATCTTTTAACAATCTAAGTATCTACCCACAAAAATTTACACAATTCTGCATCCACAATTACCAATATGACAAGAACGAAAACCGTATGAACGAAAGAAAAGAGTGTATAGATTCTTGCCTCAGGGCGATTCCCGACTCAACCATGAAGCAAAGCTAAGCTAGCGGTATAACTAACCGCACGAAAAGTCCGAGCCAAACCACACGTTTCAAGATCCCGCATTTCCCCCTTAACCACATTATAAAGCATAAGCCGACCATCGTTCATCACCACCAAAATCTCATCATCATCTCTAATCAACAATGGTGGAATCGACAACCCAGGCTGCGAAACGACACAAACTTTCTTCCAAGAATCCACCACCCCATAATCGCTCATCGCCCATACATCCCATTTATCGCCATTACCTCCAAGATAATGAGCACACAACGATAAGCACTCGCCATTCATTGATGAAGCTAAGCATACTTGATCGTAATTAGGGACGACATTCTTCGGCAATTCAAGAACACGAAACCGTTCATCATCCAAATCGAAAGCCATAATCGTATGAGATACACCCCTAATTGCATCTTTAGAAGCCAACCAATTCACAGAACCATTCACAAACACATTACTAGACCAACCCTTGATCAAATAGCATGGAGCAATCAAATCTTCCAATTTCTTCCATGAATTAGTACTCAGAGAATAAACCAACACACAATTAAGCTTCAACGAATCAAAATAATAAGCAATCACAACGATCTTAAACTCGAAAATCCTGGAAACAAAACCAAACCCAACAACGTAATGCGAAAACCTATCAGACCCGTGAAGAGGATCATCGATTTTCCTGAATTTGTGAATACTAGGGTTGTAGAGAATTAACCTGCCGACGTTGGAGTAGTAATTGGTATCGAAGAAACAGATTAAGCCCTTGCTGGATCCGACAATTCGGAGGTAGCCATGAAGGTGTTTGTAAGGGATTTGGAATTTGAGGGTCTCTTGGAAGGTGATTGGGGAGCGGAGGGAGTAGAATTGGTGGATGTAATCGGTGGATTCGTAGTAGATGAGGAGGTGGTGGTCGGCGGCGTCGACGGCGGGGGAAGAGAGATGGAGTTTGGTGAAGGAAGGGTGAGAGATTAAGGGTGGAGAGGAAGTGCAGACGGATCTGAATTGAATTAGGGATTTGGTGGGAAGACGAGAAAGGATATCGAAGATAACATCTTGCGGGAGGTTGAAGATGAAGTGGGAAGGTCTTGACATGGTGAAGACTGCACACACAGAGAGAGAGAGTGCGTGAGAGAGAGAGAGAGAAGAGGGTGGGGTAGGCTTTGTTCTTTGGGTCTTACTCATATCAAAAACACTTATAAATTCACAAAATTGAAAATTAGTCGGTGTTGGATTGTTTATTTGAAATAACTTATGTTTTTTTTATAAAAGCATTTATTAATTTATTATAAGAAAAAGAGCTTAATTTTTTCAAAAACTTCTTATTATCGGTTTGGCACCGATATAAGTTGTTTATCCAAACACTCAAGAGTACTTATTACCGGTACTAATCGAAATAAATCAATAACTTGTTTTAATAAGTAATCTCAAACATCCCTTAATGTTGTTGAATGAATGGGGAATTGATAAGAATAGTGTTTATCAAATTTACTTTTTAGCCCTTTTAGGTAAAAAGTAAAATCTTTACGTAAAAAGTGGAGTCAATCGATAAACAGAGTGTTACTTTTTAGCTATTTTCTGATCGAAAATTACTTTTTAGCCGATCTTTACTCAGAAGGTTTACACAGAAAGTGGCTTTTTTCATAATCATTGTGCAGAAAGTGGTTTTCTGCATAAGGATTTCACTTTCTGCGTAACTGTTCCATTTTCTATGTAAGGATTCTTATTTGGTTTTTTAATTCTTTTGCCGAAAATAATCTTTGCGCATATGTGTAAGAATTGGCTAAAATTTGAATTTGGGGTAAAAAATGGCTTAAAGTGAAACATCCGATCAACTTTGTTCATTATGTAAGTTTCACTAAATAAATGCATATTTAAGGGACCTTCTTTTGAGAATTCTCCAAACTGTGAGATGTCTAAAAACCAATACATCATGTGTTATTTCATATGATATTTTTTTTTTCATATATAACTAGAATTTAATGTAATGATTAATATATATTTGTTTTAAACAATATGTTTGAGTTATATGTACCCGGTTAACAATATGAACACTTTTGAACCACAAGGGTGGTGTCTGATTGGTTTGAGTATCAGGAGGTCTCAGATTCAAATCCAATGAGAAATAAAAATCCCCTTTGTGGCCACGGAGGTTCAAATGCGGTGACTCCGGGCTATCTGCAAAACAAGTGGTCGCCCTGGGATTAGTCGGCTCGTATATCAGGTTGGATATCCAGGTTAATCAAAAAAATGAACACTTTTATCTTGTATGTGAAAGAAAAAATATACATAAAGATGTTTCACATTGTGAACCGAATATATGTTAATCAGTACATTAAATACTAGACTTATATGGAAAAAAATCATGTGAAACAAAACCTTAAGATAGTAGGTTTCACAAAATTCGGAGTTCTCAAATGATTAAGCCTTACAAGGAGGTTCAAATATGTGTGAATTATTAAAAAAACCATTTGAAGATGCATATGTGAAACCCATATGAATAAACTGTAATGTTGGTTCACATATGCATGTTTTTTTGCTAACTGTGGATGTTCGGTTCAGCTTGTTCACACCTTGACTAATCCCAAGGGACATAGAGCACAACTAGAAAATTCCTCAGTGGCCTTGCAGGACTCGAACCGGTGACCTCTGAAAAGAATCCCCAAGGCTCAAGTCTTATTAACAATTGAGCTAACCCTACATAAACTTTTTTTTTCCATTTTTTTAACGGATTCACATATGAACCTTCCATTAACCTATTCATCTTACCTTCTCACGATATTTAGTTTCCTCATTTAAATCACGCCCCCCACATATCTATTAATATAGATACTTAAGGGTTGTTCACCAAATTTGTAACAAGCATAGCTTACCGGAAAAAAATGACCAACTTCACTTATTTAGACATGGGATTTTAAAATCCATTCATGTGGGATTCTTTTTGCCCTAACCTACCCGTCTCCATCTTCTCCTCCATTTTTATCGCTCACCTCTGTCGCTCTCTCCCAGTCATCTTCGTCGCCGTCGCTTCCCCCCCCCCTCTTCGTCGCCGTCGCTTCCCCCCGAGGTCGTCTCCGTCGCCGTCGCTCCCCCCGAGGTCGTCTCCGTCGCCGTCGCTTCCCCCCGAGGTCGTCTCCGTCGCCGTCGCTTCCCCCCGAGGTCGTCGCCGTCGCTTTCCCTCGAGGTTGTCTCCATCGCCGTGGCTTTCTCCCACCGTCGTCTCCATCGCATCCTCCATTTTCATCCCTGACCATCTCCTCCAGCCTCCAACATCGCTGTCTCCTCCAGCCTCAAACATCGCCGGCTCCGTAGCTTTCTCCCACGGTGGCCGTCTCCGGCTCCGTCGCTTTCTCCCACCGTGGTCGTCTCCATCTCTGTCGCTTTCTCCCACCGTGTTCGTCTCCATCTTTGTCGCTTTCTCCCACCGTGTTCGTCTCCATCGCCGAAGACAGGTAATTTCTACTTACTTCGATTTCTGTTACGACTTCACAATACGATTAATGCTCCGATTTGTACTTCGATTTCTGCATATTGTACTTCAATTTCTACATATTTTGTGACGATTTGTACTTCATATGTTGTTCCGATTAATGTTCCGATTTGTACTTCATATGCTGTTACAAAAAAAAATCCAAATCCAAATCCTGCAAACCAAACACAGGAATGGATTTTAAATCCAATCCAATCCAAATCCCATGGAATCCAAATCCCTCCTGGGAATCCAAATCCCTCAGAAACATTCCTGCAAACCAAAAGCACCCTTACTTTGTCGGGTAACATCTTGGCCATCAAAATGGATGATTTGTAAGCATCTCTTACTCGATAATGTTATTCAGGTAAGAGTCTTTTTCTTCACTTATCGGGTAAGAACCTCGGTTGTTGTCATGCCTTTTACCATGTAAGATTATTGGTCCTTGTCATGCTCACCCGGTAAGGTAAGCGACCGGGTCAGTGTTTATCCAATAAGTGTTTAATAAACGACACCTTCAGGTTGTTTTGTAGATGTTGAATGATTTGGTGCAAATGATTAGGTTGTTAAAATGAATAAGATGCCCTATATGATTTATTACAAAAGGAAAAATCCGGAATGTTTGATAAATGTTCTGAATTGAGAGTCTCAAATTCAACATCGTAGGTAAAATGTTCTGAATAAGAGGCTCTGTATAATTTAGAGGAAACAAAGATACCACGAGATGTAGCATATGAGATGCAATGATATGAGGAAGAGATGCGTGAGATGAGCCGTGGATCGAAGGGCAGTCTAGGAAAAAAGCAACCTCTGAATGGTTTGGGTCGGTCAGATGAAATATAAGTCGGAGATTATTGGAACCATTCAAATGCCTTCATCTACTATGTGCGCATGTGTATGTATTCGACTAGAAACTCAAGAAAAGAAAAGGAGAACTTACGATCTCCTTGCTTTTCAAACCAAAACGAAATGCATTTTCTTCTTTTCAGGACACAATGCAGCAATATGCAGGTTTGTAAAGACCCAACATATGACCATCGATACACCGCATTGCAGTAACCTGCAAAAAGGAGCGCGAAGATTAGGCGCGTCCTATTGAACGTTAGAAATGGGGTCATTCTCATGGCTTTCAATTGTATAAATTCTTGTCTACTATTGTATCTACTGGGTATCTGTCTGGCGTACATTAGTCTTAGCTTTTCTTCTTATACTAGTAGTTGTCAGTACTGCGCTATGTGTTCTCGATGTTTGTTTAAGGGCAAAATGCAACGAAGTTTGTTTTAGTTTTAAGTTACTACTCCCTCCCCAAAATAATTGTCCACTTTTTTTATTTTAGGAGTAAACTACAATTTTGGTTCCTATGGTTTGTCAAAAATAACAGTTTGCATCCTTGCAGTTACGAAATCAAAAGGTGGCCATCATGGTTTGGAAAAGTGTATAGATTTGGTCCTCCCTCTAACGATCATAAAAATTCCGTTAAATGAAGGACATTTTTGTCCTTTCATCGATTTTTTTGTCTTTTACTGAATCAAAAACCACAATAACCAGAATCATATAATTGGTTTTGATTGGGTAAAAGACAAAAAAATTGATAAAAGAATGAAAATGTTCCTCATTTAACGGAGTTTTTTAACGGCTATTAGAATGAGGCACCAAATTTGGACCTTTTTGCAAACCACAATAGCCATCTTGTAATTTCAAAACTATAAGAATGAAAAGTGTTATTTTCGACAAACCATGCGGACCAAATTTGTAGTTTACTCTTATTTTACTTCGTTCTAAAATAAGTATCTACTTTCTTATTTTACCCTTAATTATGACACGGAGAAAATTCTTTTTCCCTCTATTATTAAAAGTAAAAGTGTCATTTAGTCAATTAAAAAGTGTAATAATTACACATTCCCAAAAAGACCAAATTATGTGTCGTTTCATTGTGGACATTTATTTTTGGATGGAGGGAGTATAACAAAGACTTCCTTTTTCTTAATCAATGTAATTTTAAATTTTCCCATCTAATGGAACAAAGTTCAGAAAATATTATACTTTTTACCCATTTTGACCGGTAGGCTGCTGATCTGTAACATTTGATGACATGAATGTCAAGTTAATGTCCACTTCGCCGTAAACCCTTTCATAAACTTTTCGTAAATGGGTATTCACGTCATCAAATGTTACACTAAGGGGCCGTTTGTAAGCGCTTACAGCAAGAGTCACTACCCTTACTTATCTTATTGGGTGACATTTCATCAAGATGGATTGTTGGTATGCGTCTTTTACCTAATAAGTGCTTACCGGGTAAGAGCCTTCTTTCTTACGTACCACGTAAGATTTTCAGTCCTTCCTATGCCTCTTACCTAAGATTCTCGGTCCTTGTCATGATCACTCGGAAAGGTCAATGACACCCAGTAACCGGTTGGTAAACGGACCCTTTTTTTGGTAACCGTGGGTGTTCGGATCAGCTTGTGCACACCTCAACTAATCCCATGGGGCCTGAAGATAACAGCCAGGAAAATCCTTGGTAACCCTAAGGAGACACGGAGACCTATGGGGAGGAGTCCTAAAGCCTAGCATTCATTTGCTGGTTTGAGCCACAATTATCTTTGACACTTATCACACCAACTTGTGTTTGCAGTATCCACGTTACATTACACAATAAGATCTTTCTTAATTCAGAATACTTTCTACCATTTCTCTAGGATCATAACCTTAAGCATTTGATATGTTAGAATCTCACATCTGCTAGACTTGGACCATTTCTCATCGGCTAGAACATAGTCAACATACCTACATTCTGAATTCCTAAATCAAAATCAGACTCCAATTGTGATACAGATGACTAACATATGTTGTAACTTCAATTCTTTAGTGAAATGACAATTAAAAATAACTCAATTCCATGATAACAGGATTTCAGTTTCCAACATACGACTCTAGAATCAACAAGCAAAAGTATATATGAGACAGTCGGATAGATAGAGGATCAGAATATACCAAAAGGTCATTGGCCCAACGGTACCCGGCTTACTGGTAGATACCAACCTTACCGGATGTCAAGGTTCCAAGCCTCACAAAAGATGCGGAGAGTGTGTGTGAGCATTTGCCTTACATAAATATCTTTCAAAGAAAAGGGAATATATATATACACACACACACACATACCTGGAAGAATGCATTAGCGCGAGCTTTACAGGGCCGCGTTCGAGTTCGGCCCACCTGAGAGTACACACGTTTATGCTGAAAACAAGATCTTCTTTGTAGAATCTGGCAGCTTTCGGTACATCTTTGGGGCAATTGCAGCATCCACCTGAACAAAGCCGCCCAATGTTCTGTAGAATGGAATTCAATTCCATTCCAAATCATACAAACCAAAGATTCCATATCCTTTCATGAAATCCAAATTGCTCAAAAGCATTCTGTTAAACCAAACGGGCCCTAATGGGTTAGATTTCAACATTGAATTTTTTAGAAGGTCATTCGACTAAATAGCCCATTTTACAAACTTTTTTCGTCAAAAAATTAAAATTCCATGTGCAAACAGAAGTAGAAATGGCATTTCACAAGGAACCAACAAGTAGATTCATGAATATGAATAAAAGAGTACAAATTGTGAGATTCCACGTTGGTTGGGGAGATGAACAACAAACAAAGGTTGCCTTATAAGAGACGGGATACAGGATACCTCCTCTTTCAGACGCGTTGTAAAACCGTGAGTCCATGTGTTGATAAAGAGAACAGTATCTGATACGGTTGGTTTGGGATATTACAAAATGTATGCTATAAACCATTCAAACAAACTAAAACCCAAAATCCCACAAGTTCCTAAACTTCGATCATTTTCCCCTCAAATTTAGACGATGAAAAAACTTGTCAAAACAATTATTAGTACCAAAAATACGTCAATTTTTTATAGAATCTAACTCAAAAATTAGATCGCTTCATTGCAAGAACACTTCTCATTGTCAACAAGATGAAAGCAAACGTTGTCACCGTATTGCAGAATAGGGTAGTCTCTAAAATCCTTCGTTCTTTGACACATATGCCCAATTATGTTGTATGTTCTGTTTATAGAATCATATGATCTTAATACCATCACAATGACCATTGATGAGCTGAACCGAAGTAGGGCTCTAACTGAGAATGTGTATACACCAAGTAGTAGCTTCTGGAATTCAAAATGTATATCGTGTGTTTGATGAAATCGACTGATTACTAGAATCACTTGGTTTTATACAGCCATTTGACAATATGTTTGATGGATTCCATCTCTATATCCATAGATTTCTTCCATTTTCACATTTTACGTTCTCCTCAATCCCGGATGGATCCATACTAATAGAAGAATTGAACATTACAAAGCATATGTTTGTCATTTCATCGAACAATTGCTAGAAGTTACTACTTGGTGAATACGCATTCTAAAATCAAAGCCCTACTTCAGCTCTCTGAATGTTCACTTCTAGTATATATCAATCCACGTTTGAGAAGACTGTAAATTGTGAAAAATGGAGGAAATCCATGGATTTAGAGGTCGAATCCGTCAATCACATAGTCAAATGATTATACAAAACACAAATTTAGCACACAATATACAGGAAACAGATAGACAGATAACCCCCAAATTGCAAGAGAACTTACCAGTAACAAGAGAGACCACCGGAAACTACGTTTTTTTCTCCTCCACAGATCGGGAATTTCAGATTTCAGTTTTCCGGCAACTTCTCCGATCTTCCCCAAAATAAAACTTATAACAATGGGCTTTTTTTTGGGCCTCTTATTTCATCTGTTATAATGGTTCTGGAATGGATCAAAACTTTATATTTATACTATATTATAAAATATTTGAAAAAAAAATTTAAAAATTATTTTTTTCATGAAGTATTATATATTGATGTATATTACTTAAAATTCAAGATTACAAATGAATTATGCATAAGTACAACTTATTAAAGCTTCATTTTTGAATTTATGTAACTAACTGCAAATAAACATAATCAAATAGAGAATAAACATTTTATTTTAAATATAAAAAATCTAAAATGTAATTAGGATAATCATTGAGTTGTAACAAAATACTTTATTATTATCTTTATAAAAAAATTATTATTAAACCAAAAAAATGAATTAAAGAATTATAGAAGAAGAAAAAAAGAGAAATATTAAATAGTTTGTTTCGTATTAATATCAACATTTTTTTTTCAATTTTTTTATGATATGTTCATATTTATATTTTATTATTATTTTCTCAAAACCACATAAAACCGTATTATAACATCAACCAAGACAAAAGAAAAATAAAAACGAAACATTAAAATCGAGATGTATCTTATTGCATTTTGCGAGTACCCTTTTAGTTTTCATTAAAAGAATTAAGTATCAGCAATTCTAATCGCACCCACACATAATCCATCCTTTATGTATTCATTGTAATTAAAATTCCTTCTGTATCAAAAAAAAAATTATAAAGTAGCATTGTCGTATTATGTATTTTGTCTATTAATGGTAGTGGGCTGGCAAAAGATTCTAGAACCATCTGTCAGCTCACTACCACTAAGGGGAAAAGCATTCTGTATAAGACAAAGCTACTGTACAATTTATTTGGTACAGAAGGAATTTCAATTACAGCTAACATCATGAAGCATATGTGATGAGGTATTTCAAAGTTGATTCAATGATTTAAGCCCAACAGAGAGACTTAAGCCTGTATTCCTCATGATCTGAACTTGAACTTGTGTATTTAAATAAAGTCGTCTCATCCTTTTGTCAACTAAGTTACACGTCTCATCCCCTTGCGGTCACGGGGGTTCAAATACGGTGACTCCGGGTTATCTGCAAAGCAAGTGGTCGCCCTGGGATTAGTCGGATCGCATAGCGGGTTAGATATCCAGGTTAATAAAAAAAATGAGAATCAAATCTTAAAAATTAGAAAAATTTATGAATTCAACTGAAAAACCGAAAAAAGTCCCTCTGAATACGATGGAATTCAGCTAAAAACACATCAAACTTAAAACGTAGTCTTGCGTCTTCTTTACAAAGTCGATTCTATTTGAGAAAATGTATTTCATTATTTAAGTAACATGTATCAATAAACAGTACTTCATGCATAAAAAATGATTTTTAAGAATTTTTGTCAAATATTTTATAATACAGATAGAATAGAGAATAAAATTCATTTATATCATAATTGGAATGGAGTGGAAAGTGGTAAAATTACCTATTATGGTTTGTATAAATGAAATGGAATTGTAGAGATAAAAAAATAAGAATACATATACAGATAAAAAGAAATAGAAATAATATGTTTCGAGATATATAACCGGTCGGAAATGAAGACTTCAACAAAACGACAACACGAATATAATTTTCTCGATCTGTTTGAAAGATATTGTACTCGGTATCACGTGAATTGAAAACTATATGGATTTTTTTTTTGTACGATACTTAGGGGTTGTTTACTTAGAAGATGTTTGGTTGGTTTTCCATTAAGTCATTTATGAATAAAGTTGTATTTGTGGATTAATACATCTGTATAAATTGAGAAAAAAATTTGTTTGCGACAGGTTTTTCATAGATGGAAGGATCATGATTTTTAATTTTGGAGAGGCGGGTTTCGGAAAATATAGTTTTATGCATAAAGCTCCTCCTAGAAGCTTTATGAACAAGTCATTTTTTATATCATTAAATCACTATCAAATAGTCATATATAGTGGAACGAATAAGCTATGAGTCTCATTAAGCTCATTAACCTGCCAACAAACATACCCTTGAACCTTAATGATCTTAATGGTTTGGACGATTTATTCGTTCAACCATACATGAGTGTTTTTTTACAGCTTAATCGTTAAGCCATTAAGATAAAATGGCTATATGGAATAAGTCAAGATCCCTCACCTGTTCCCAGTAAACCATATCAAACAAATTAATACCAGAAATGCCTGGAAATAATTCAACCCTCCCTCTTTGCCTCCTACAGACTGATCGATCTCATATATTTCATACAAATAAATTTATCTGGACAAATAACTGGAAAAAAGAAAGTAAACAACCTGTCACTCGTGACATTTATTACAATTAAGAAAGGTTCGACGAAGATGGTTTCCACTTGACTTACAGTTGTAGCTAAGAGTCATGGTTTAATAGTCTTTATCTGACTTATTCAACGTGGCATAATTCTATTTAAATACAGAATAACGATGGGTTTTGTATCTGTTTTCTTGTTTCGACATTTATAATTATTAAAATATATATAATATAAAAATTCGATTGTGTTAATAAAAAAATAAAACCTAGAAAATAAAAATTTTGGAGATATTTGTCTTTAAGTGGTTTTTTTTTAGTTTTTTTTAACTAGAAGGTTTTTGTGCAATGTATCGAGATATATCTTGATTTTTATGTTTCATTTTATTCTTTGTCTTTTTTTTATGTTATTATATAATTTTATGTAGTTTTGAGAAAACGACAGTGTTTTTATTTTTGAATAAAATATAATTTTGAAGATATTATAAAAAATTAGAAAATATATATTGATATTAATATCAAATTAATAATTCAAAAGTTATCATTTTTCTGTAATTTTTTTAATTAAATTTTTTAATATAATTTAATTTAAGTTTAATAACAAACTTTTTTATTTTTGTTTGAAAATCTAACTTTTTATGAAAATAATAATTTTAAGTATTTTATTATGACTTCATGTTTATCCTAATTATATTTTATATTTAAATGATATGTTTATCATATATTTAATTATGTTTATCTACAACTGGTTACAAATTTTAAACATGAAATTTTAATAAGTTATACCTATGCGCAATCTACTTGTAATCTTGAATTTTAAGTAATATGCATCAATAAGCAATATTTTATTTTATGCATAAAAGATGGTTTTTAAGAGGTTTTGTCAAATGTTTTATAATATAATATAAATATTTTGCAAACCAATAAGATGTGTTAATATTTTATTTAGAGTTTTCTTAAAATGTATTAAAATGATAAAATTATAAAATATTGTAATTGTGAAAATATATGTATAACTCCCAGATCAATTTTCAAAAGAGCCCTTGAAGAAAAATGACAAGTTTTTAACATATAAATTGTTAAAGTCTAGCCGACCGGGAACTCCAACACGCCCACTCCAACACAGACTGAATGGATACAAATTGTCTAAAAGTGTCGAGAGAGGACTAACCGAGTGTCGTATCCCTAAAGTGACAGACATTGACTTTGATATCATGTGAGAATATTTGGAACACCCATATCACAATCCAAAAATGCATATGAGAAGAAAGAGGATATTCCAACATATATACAGGAGAAATGATCTAATTCTAGCCGATGTGAGACTCCAACATTAATAATATATAATTAAGGGCAAATTACATGAACAAGTAACGTACTTTAACTTTACATTTGTTTAATCTAAAATTAGTTTTTTTTTCCAATTTAAAATTAGTCTTCAACCAGTTACTCGGGTACTTAAATGTTTAAAACTTTACATTTTAGGTACCAAAATGAAAGTTTTGAAAATAAATTACCAAAAATAGAAATCAAGTTAAAATATGTTATTTTAAAATTCTGAAGATGCTCTACATTTGTTTCGCATAATGTTTTCTAAAATACTGAAATCTGAAAGAAATTGGAATGAAATGTTATCATGTTTGACCAAATGTTTGGTTGTCGGAAAATGAAATGTAATCTCTCAAATGAATTGTAATATGTCTGTTTGGTTTACAAAAGAATTGGAACGGAATAATGAAAATGATAAAAATACCGTTTCTTTAATATTTTTTAAAATTATAAATAACTATAAAATTAACATTTAATGTGACAAAAATATGTAAATAACCACTTATTAAATCATATATAAACATAAAACATGTAAAAGACTGATATATAATCATAAACCAAACCATTCATACACGTTACCACATTAAATACATACATAAATATTGTTATCAAACTAGTCTTACACATGGTTATAGGTTGCAGAACCATAACATCGAAGCAATAAATACCAAAAACATTGTTTTAAAGCAAATCGGTCGTTGGTCCAACATAAACCAGATCCAAGAATAAGTACCAGATGTGTACTCCAAACAATAATTACCACCAACCAAATTTACAGTTTTCAAAACAAACCAATCATTGTTTCAAGCATATCACATAACTTTTAAAATATCTTCCATTCATCTTAAGATGTGATGTGCAAATAGTATCATTCTCATTAACATACTATGTAATATGGGTGTTCATGGGTTGGGTTGATCGGGTTGAAGACATTTGAACAACTTAACTCAATGCTTGGGGTTTGAAAAATCTTAACTCAACCCAAACCGTACGGGTTGGTCGGGTTGATACTTTAGTGCATTAAAATATTCTTGTAACCTTGAATACGTTATTTATCTGCTCATAATTTTTTTCATCGTCAACCATTTGATATAACTTATCATACTTCTTACATACATCACATTCAATTATTTATCTCAATTTACATATATATGTTCACAGTTACTGAACATATATACGAATGTGTTATATAGAGATGTGAATAGATTGAAAATATGTATATATGAAGAACATACGTGATAGAGTAATTATCTAATGTATATATTAATATAAATTCAACAATCATATTAAATCCAAGAAGTAAAAGGATATCGGGTTCATCGGGTTGTGTTGGGTTCAAATAATAGTAACCCAATATCAACCCAATACCT